CTGCCTTCGGTTGGGTTACATTTATGCAGTTTACGTACAATCGCCTGTGAATACATAGGCCCTCCACAAAACTGCCTTCGGTTGGGCTACATATATGCAGTTTACGTACAATGGCCAATGAATACATGGCCCTCCACAACACTGCCTTCGGTTGGGATACATATATGAAGTTTACGTACAATGGCCAGTGAATACATAGGCCCTCCACAACACTACCTCCGGTTGGGTTACATATATGCAGTTTACGTACAATGGCCAGTGAATACATAGGCTCTCCACAACACTGCCTTTGGTTGGGTTACATATATGCAGTTTACGTACAATGGTCAGTCAATACATAGGCCCTCCACAACACTGCCTTCGGTTGGGCTACATATATGCAGTTTATGTACAATGGCCAGTGAGTACATAGGCCCTCCACAACACTGCCTTCGGTTGATATACATATATGCAGTTTACGTACAATGGCCAGTGAATAAATAGGCCCTCCACAACACGGCCTTCGGTTGGGTTACTTATATGCAGTTTACGTACAATCGCCAGTGAATTCATAGGCCCTCCACAACACTGCCTTCGGTTGGGTTACATATATGCAAATTTACGTAGTACAATCAAGAAGAATTGTGAGACATCATAAACTCATAGGTGTATCCCCCTGTCACACTGACATTCGGTTTCATATTTCCTTTTATGTACATTATCTCTGCTGGCCACAGCCCCGATGGCGTGTGCGTGCTACCTACAGCTGCCACTCCCACTCACCGCCTGTCTACTTATGATCGCACACCACCGATGCCGACATGTAGCTCAGATCGGCAAACAGCCGCACATAGCGCATGGCTTCCGAAGTCAGTTGGGACGGCCTGTAGGTGAACGCAGAGGACTTTGAGTGAACGCGATTGTGTACGGTTAACGGAATGAAACGGCCTGAGAATGTATTGCGGCTCTACTGGTGACGGGTGATGAGTTGGTGAGACTTATTCGGGTTGTTGTGTGTGCCGTTCATGGCTACGGTTACAAGCACCCCTAACGGTGGAACTGGAGATCATGGCTATGTATGAGCCTGACAGTCACTCGTGGCTTTAGCAGGGCACAATAGGCAGATATAACAGGCAGAACCCATGGACATTCGAACCCATGGACATTCTGATAGCCAAAGGTGTATACAAATAAGGGAATTTCATAACTCATAGACATACAGGGACACAAAGGATACCCAACACTCATGGGCATTCGAATAGAGAATGAGATACAAACACATGACACCTCATAACTAATGGAAGGTCTTGACCTAATACTGTGGCAATGGACGTGTAGCACAGGTGGGATACAAGTGTTGTACCGTTGACAAGGGTTACGATCTGTCTTACCTTCGAGCCGGTTGCAACGATTCATCGTCTCTCGACAGGGACACGGGACTGGAGATACGGCCCACTACGAGCAAACAATGGTTTGGGGTATGTGTTAGAGTGAATGCTTTAAGGTATGTGTTAGTGTGTTAGGAGTGTTTTGTAGGGTATGTGTTATAGTGTATGTTTTAAGGGATGTGTTAGTGTGTTAGGAGTGTTTTGAGTGTGTTTTAGGGTATGTGTTAGAGTGAGTGTTTCAAGGTATGTGTCAGTGTGTTAGAAGTGCTCGAATGTGTGATGGGAGAGGAACACAGGACTAGAGATACAGCCCACTACGAGCAAGCAATGGCTTAAGGTGTGTGTTAGAGTGAATGTTTTAAGGTATGTGCTAGTGTGTCAGAAGTGCTCGAATGTGTGATGGGAGAGGAACACAGGACTAGAGATACGGCCCACTACGGGCAAGCAATGGTTTGGGGTATGTGTTAGAGTGTATGTTTTAAGGTATGTGCTAGTGTGTCAGAAGTGCTGGAATGTGTGATGGGAGAGGAACACAGGACTAGAGATACGGCCCACTACGAGCAAGCAATGGTTTGAGGTATGTGTTAAGAGTGAATGTTTTAAGGTATGTGCTAGTGTGTCAGAAGTGCTCGAATGTGTGATGGGAGAGAAACACAGGACTAGAGATACGGCCCACTACGAGCAAGCAATGGTTTACACAGATTTCATCCCTCCGAGTCGAAGGCGCTTCTATATCACACCACACCAATGCTTCCCTAGATTCAAGTCCTCCAATTCAATAGCACCCTAATTCACCGTCACCTCCAAAAACAGTGATCCTGAAATACAAATGCACCCCAAATCTAACTACACAATACGCCAATGCTTACTTAGATTCAAGACCTCCAATTTAATAGCACCCTAATCTCACCTTCACCTCCAAAAACAGTGATCTCAAAATACGAACGCACCCCAAATCTAACTACACGTTACACCAATGCTTACCCAGATTCTAACACCCCAATTTAACCTTCACCTACAAAAACAGCAATCCTAAAATACAAACACACCCCAAATCTTACTACACACTACACCAATGCTTACCCAAATCCAACCCTTCCAACTCAAAGGCACCTGCACCTCCGAGACCGGAACCGGACTCCGGGAACAACCCTTCCAGTGCACCCGTGGTCGGCACAGAAAGGTCCGTTAGACCCGTTTCTGGGGCCACATCCTCCACCAACGACACTCCTTCTGTCAACGCAGACGGTGAGGGAGAGTCGACCTTCAGCGTATGCAGACCCAGCTCATCTATGGGCGGTGTCTGTGTCTGTGTATGGTCTCTTGTAGATCGGTTGCTGTTTAGGCTTGAACGGGTCGAGCTCAAGCCACTCCGCGTCCGTGTAGAGCCCTCTCTGCTCCTCCTGTAGGGTGTGAGTGTGTTCCATTTGTATTGTGTTGTGTGTGTGTGGGTGTGGGTGTTCGTGGGTGTGTGTAGGTGTGCGGGTGTAGCATTCGTATTGTGTATATGAGGGAGTGAGCGGGTGTGTGCCATTCGTGTTGTGTATGGGTGTGTGTGTGTGTGTGTGTGTGTGTGTGTGTGTGTGTGTGTGTGTGTGTGTGTG